CTGGAAGACGACAGATTCATACCCTGGCCCTGCTGGGTGGCATTAAACCCTCAGCCTCCGTGACTCCCTTTTTAGGTGCAGATAACAATACCTACTTCGGCAGACTGTTTGGAGAGAGAAGATAATGTACTCAAATGAGTTCTGTTAGGGGTTTTTTTTGTTGTTGTTTGCTGGAGTTTTGTTTTTCTCGGCTTGCACATAAGAATCACCTGGGGAGCGTTTAAAACGGAGAGTCCCAGATGCACTCAATGAGAACCTCTGAGGGTGGGGCCTACAAATCACATGCAAGTGCATTTTGTAGAGTAAAAAGCACTATGTGTATTTGTTTTTACTACTGTAGCATTTAGCATCTAACACGGAACCTCACCACAGTGATTCAATAAACACTAACAAAATAAATAATAAAAAGTATTTTAAAAATAGATTTTAGCTTTGTTTCAAGAATTTCATTTTAAAAAAACCTTCACGATGATTATGTAAGAAAAATTCTCTCAGCAAAAGGACTGAATGGTAGTTAATACAAAGAAGTGGAACCCATTCCTATTTGAATGGGCCTACATAGTTCACTTATCGTCTTGGGCCATAGATCAAGGTACAAGATACTAAATTTAATTAAGCATCAATGTAATCTATTTTATCTCCCTAAAACACAACTCATGAAAATCACATGATAGATGATTTCAAATTCTCTCTCAAATGACCCCCTCCATAGAACCTACAACTACCGGACAAAGATTTATCCCTACCTTTTGTCAAAGAGAAAACTTCATTTTCTTTCAGTAGTTTATTTTAGGACAATTCAAAATAGAAAGTGTTAGGTACCAGCTCCAATATGCACTATAAGCCAGTTTTATAAAATATATGTACTTGATATACCTGCAAAGATACATATCCCCAAAATGTTTACAGTGAGGTTTTCCCAGAAAATATGATTTGAGATTATTTTCTCGTTTTTTTATTTATCTGTATTTTTTTTTTAGTTTTTACAATGAATATGCACTACCTATATAACCTTTCTTCTGTTATTTTAAAAAGAAAATGCAGAATAGGGTGCCTCGCTGGCTCGGTCAGTAGAGCGAACTACTCTTGATCTCAGAGTTACATATACGAGCCCCACACATTCAGTGAACAGACTGCTTAAAAATAAAGTCTCTTAAAAAAAAAAATGCAAAGCCCAAGATTTCGTTAAGAGTAAACAACATAATTCAAGAATCTTGACAGGTGTTTAAGTTTCGATTTTCCAAGTCAAAACAACACCAGAGAAGTTAAAAATCTGCTTTTTATATTTGGAAAATATTAATAACCCCTCACATGTTACTGCCAAGACTTTTGAAGCTCTTTAGATTTAAAAATAACTATGTTTTCAAACGCTATAAAAAATATTATTGGGTCAACTGACAAACAGGAAACCAGACAGGAGACTTGATCAAAGTATTTTATCAATGATAAATTTCCTTAAATTGATAACTGTACTAAGGAATGTTAAGATAATGCCCTTGGTTCTTGGGAAATACACAATGAAGGGGTTAAGGGGCATGACTAGCAATGCACTCTCAAACTATTCAGCAAAAAATGCGTAATAATAGAATGAAAGATAAAGCAAATGCTGAATAGGGAAAGCATCAACAAGTGGTGAATCTGGGCATAAGAGTCATTTGTACAATTTTCACTATTTTGGTAAGCTTGAAATTATTTTCTAAATAACATTTTTAATGGAAAAAAGTAACAAAAAGTAACATTCAAAACACTTAAGATCATGCTGGACCAACTGCAAACAAGACATTAAATTAGCACTCTCCAGAAGAAATAGAAGCTACATGTGTTGTATTTTCAGGTGGCCACATTAAAAATTAAAAGAAACAGGCGAAACTAATTTTAACATTTTACTTAGCCAAGGATTAAAACATCATTTCAATGTAATCAAAATTATTAGTGTGATATTTTACAATTTTTTTCACATCAAGTATTCAAAATCTGGTGTGCATTTTAAAATTAGAGTACATCTCAATTCAAATGCTAAATATTCATAAGAAATTCCTGATCTGCATTTAGATTTCATTAAATAAATCGCTTCTCGGCCTTTTGTCTAACATCAAGCGTAGGTCTCATTAAATATACATGTGAAAAAGTAGACCCACATAACCAAGTTGTTTAAAATACGGTTAAAAGTTTTTCCAATCACTGAACTACCAGCTTTAAATGTCCACTTAAATCAACTAAAATTAAAGTGGAAAGCTCATTCCTTAATCATACTAGCCACACTGCAAGCTCAGTAGCCACATGTCGCTACCCTGTAAGACAGCCCAGTTTTAGATGACGAAACCAATGCCCTCTATGAAAGGAGAACCTGATTGCTAAGACTTAGTTTATCATACTCATCAAAAGATTTTTAGCGGTTATCGTAAAATAATGATGGCTAATCCTGCAAGCAGCCCTGACATCTCCCCAAGTTATAATCAGACATTCCCTAAACCACCACTCAGAAATACCAACATAAAGCCTTCTTTACTTTCTAAATCAACTGTCATACCTTGTATTTGGGTTTCCTGAAAACTGCCTATCAAATGCCTCTCTTTTAAACGTTAGCAGAATGAACCAGAGTTCTGGTTCTCAGACACGTCAATGTCCATTGTTACAGAGTGCAGAGTTTCAGCACAAATACGGTCTGAGAATCCCAAAATGGGAGCATGCACACAACAGAACATATCCTGGGCTTAAGAGAAATGACAGGAGTACAGAGGTGGGTTTTTCACTGTAAACAGGTGTAAAAGATTAATTCCATCAACACCAAGCAACCCTAATGATTCGCCAATCAATAGTTCTGCGCCAAGCAACCTGATCAGGGATTTGGCTAGAATCCCTTTGCCTAATCTCAATAAAGACCTTCCCAAAGACATCCTGATTTAGCCCATTCTCATCTAAATTAAGGTTTAGGCAGTCCTTTCTTTGCCTGAGAGCAAATAAATGAAATTACATACATAGGAATAAAATTTTGCCTGCTTGACAAAAGGAAAAATGATCTGAAAGATAATTTAGTATGGGGAAAAAATACACTTCCAAAGAAGGGAAGTTAGCCTAAAGCAGCATTTAAAAGCCATTTTAGGGAAATGTCTAATTCCCACCTTCTGTCTAGCTCGACTTTCAATGGGACAATGTTGTGGGGTAACAACTGAATTTAATCCACACAACTAACTCTAATATTACCAGTTTTTCTGCTGCTGCAGGCGTGCATACAGGTGTTAATATTCTACTTAAACTTGAAAGATGTCCTTTAAAACCTACGAATCCTTTATTGTGAATCTACAAGTGCCTAAAATTACACATTCCCCTGGGAAGTGAGGTAAAATTACGCAGTTTTTGACACCCTGACCTAAAAGTTCTGCATTCCACCCAAAATCCTTTTTTTTCCCCTTCCTCTCCCATTCACTATCTACCTCACAAGATGGTATCAGGGATCACAGATACAAACCTTACCACTGTGTGGAAACTAAAATAATCCTCATCTGAAAGCCTGGACGTAGAAACGATTTTCTACTTAAAATACAACTTCCTTCCCCCACCTTCCTCCAAAGAATCATAAAGCTTTAAGCGGGATGAACACAAACATTCTAAGCCCTTCCAAAGGAGGTGTGTTCTTGATTAGATTTACTTGACCCTCGAAGTGTTTAAACATTCTGCAGACGACCACATTCTAACTTGAGGGTTTTGCTAGAAACTTCGCAGTCAATGCCTATGTAATCAAATCCAGTCTCACTTCTCTCTGAAATCAGCTAAATACGCAGGAATCTATTGTAATTTTAAAAATAGCGAAGAGGGGAAAAGCCATAAACTACACCCGAAACACATTCCAATCCAACAGTTCAAGCACTATTTCCAGAAGGCAAGTAAAAATAAAGTCCCACGTCTCGCTCGGGAACAGAAAGGTGTTCATAAGGCGGCAGGGGCCGCACCACGCTGTTAGGACCCTCACCGACCCCAGCAACCCTGCGGGTTCCCGCGGCCTGAACTCCAGCGAATCACCCGAGACCCCAGGCCGCTTAACCACCCCGGAGCACAAAGATGTTGACGAGGACGTCAGATGCAGAACAGCTACTTAAATCCTAACACCAACAAAAAGTAGGATTAAACTGGAGTTTTTACACCGTCTTTCATCGGTACCTTTCCTCTTCGCTGGAACCCACTAAAACGGGGGGCAACGCGAACACCAGAGAGGGGTTTCCCGTTGTTTATCAGACTTAGGCAAACAGCTATATTTAACAATTCCTCCCAAAGGCCTGATGCCAGAGCAGTGGCTCTTTTGAGAGGAAGGCACACAGGAAGCAGGAGGCACACCCGCTGCTTGGTGCAGGAGCATTCTCCCGGCGCAGCCAAAGCGGCGCTCGCCCCAGCACCGCGGCACTTTCCAAGGGCCAGCCTGGGAAGCCTGCACCCTCACAGGCAAAGCCCACGCTGCCAACAAAGGCTGCACCTCCTGCTTCCAGGGGGGAAGCCCCACCATCCGACGCCGGGAGCCCGCTGCCCGCCGCAGCTCGGGAGCTGGGGTCAGCGCGGAGCCGTCCCCGGGGGGAGCCGCGCCGCACCGAGGTCCGGAGCCGAGGACCGCCGGCGGGGCCGCGGGGCGCAGAGGCTCGAGGAATCCCGGGAGAGGGCGGGTAGAGCGTCGGAGCCCCGCAGGATCCCCGGAGGATGTGGCGGCGCCGCGGGCGGTATGGGGGCTGGGGAGGCCGAGGCGGCCCGCCGCCCCCCGCAGCCCCGATGCCTTTCATTTGGCCTCTGCGGCGGTGGAGGCAGCTCGACCTCCAGCGCTAAGCACTGCGCCAAGCATGGGCGGGCGGGGGAGGCGCCGCCAGACCCGCCGCAGCGCCGGACCACCCCCACTCCCCGAGCTCCACGCCGCGCCCCCAGCCCGGCCGGGACCCCGCGGCCCGCCGGTCAGCTCGCAGGCCGCGCTCCCACGACGGCCGAAGGATACTGCGCTCGGGCGCTCGCCGGGTCCCCACCTCGATGTAGCCGGCCAGTGCCGCGGCAGGCGCCGTGAGCCCAAGCAGCAGCAGGACCAGGAGCTTGCCGGTGGCCGTGGCGACCGCGGTCCCGGTGGCCGCCATCCCTCGCCGGGTCGCTCTTAGCGCGCGACTACCGCAGCTCACACGCAAGACCTAGGGAGCTTTCCCCACCGCGACCCAGAAGCATCTGAAGCCAGTTCGCCGCCGCCCCGGGGGTTTTACACCAACCGGAACTGACTTCACACAACCACGCCCTCCTTCTCCGGCGCCAATGCCGGCCCGTAGAGCCGCCCAAGGCGCCGCCCCTTGTTCGGCCCAGACCCAATCAGAGAACAAAGGATCCCGCACCTCCCTCCCGCCCCAGCATTGAGCCCCGCCAGGCCCCGCCTCCGGCCTCTGACGGCCCCGCCCCCGCCTGGGACCCTGCGGCCGCGTAGCTAGGGGGTGTGCGCCCGGCGCGTTGGGCGCCGCGGCTTCGCGGCGGGTGGAAGACTGCTCCGGCCTCCCGCACCGTGAAAGGTTATCTGCCCGCACAGCGCTTGTGCGTCCGCCTGCAACCTCCTGATTCGGGGCACGCCCCGCTCCCCTAGCCCTGCGGGGTATTTTTCAGATTCCTTTGGGTACCGCCCTCTTTGAGGTTCTGAAAAAAGGTTTTATTAAAAACAGAATTTAAAACAAAATTTTTTTTTTAACACCAGAATTGTTCTGAGTCCAGGCAGGTCTACCGAAGGCCTTCCCCCGACGCTGGGGATGGCCTAAAAGCAGGGAGATTTTTCCCTTCTCCCGAGCCCTGCTCCCGGCGTGCCGGTCTCCAGCGCGCTGCTCGCCCAGAGCCGGGTTTGCCCTTTCCCCCTGACAATGCTGGGAGGTGTTTCCACGCTTTTGACCTCTGTTCCTTAGGCCTCATCCTTAATCCTCCTTCCCAGCGGCCACTCGAGCCAGGGATACCTGCCTCCCCCTGGAAACCAGTGGTGCAAGGACCAGGTTGACCTTAAAGCCCAGGTCTCCTTGTGTGTTTTAGGAAAAGATCGGGTTTTTTTTTCTTTCTTCTTCAGTTTAAGATCACTGCCAAGAAACCAGCTTCTCTGCTTTCTTGCTCCATCGCGTTTCCACTTCAGCTGGGAAGACGTTCTGCTACCCCATTTCACCACTGGCGCGGCTTCAGGGCAGCGAGGGCTCTGCCGGCTTTTTCTCAAAAGCCGTGTGATTTATACACCACCCTTTATGTAGAGTCCTTGCTAGTCCCTTTAGGTTGAACCAAATAAATAGAGAACAGGGTCTCTGCCCTAGGAAACAGACGGTAAAAAGAGAGTGTCCACATAGTAAACAGTGGGGTCATGGGAAGAACGCTGGATTTTCCAGCCTTATTGCCTGACGTGCCTAGTTCTTGGTGGTTAAACAGGCTGTGCCCTGTTTCCCAAAGACAGCTCACTCCTTCCCACAATAGAGCCCTTTCTATGCCTATAATGTCTTCTCTCCAGTCCCTACCTGTTGAAAACCTTTCCATTCTTCTCTGTCCCCTGGATGTAATGTCATCCCCTTCTGGATGTTGTTTTCCATTATGGCACTTACTCCCTTGGTTATTTCTATAACTCTGTTATTGCCACTGACTTGGGGTATGGGCCCCTCAGGTAGAGACCTCAGCACAGTGCAGTCACACTGAAACCACTTATGCTGGGTTCTGGTCTTAGTTCTGGAACAGCTGCTGTGACTGATGTGTGTCCTTCCCCAAGTTCATACATGTTGAAGCCCTAACCTCCAGTGCGATGGTATTAGGAGCTGGTGACTTAGGGAGGTATTTAGGGTGAGATTCAGTCATGAGGCACGGCCCTCATGATGGGATTAGTGCCCTTAGAGGAAGAGACCAGAGAGCTGCCCATGAGAGGACGCAGGAGGAGGCCAGGAGAGAACCCTTCTCAGGCAACCAAATCGGCAGACACCATGATCTTGGACTTAACAGCCTCCAGAAAAGAGATTCTGTTGTTTAAGCCACCCAGTGTCTTCCTTTTCCTCTCAGTCATGGGTGAATATTACGGACCTGACTCACTCACTAATTTGTGTGACTGCGTGGAAAGTGAATGTACAGTAGTGAAAAGCAGGAAGAGATTTAACTCTGAAGAACGAAAGGAACTTGAAGCTACATGTTACCAAGTGCAAGTGTCTGTGAAAATATGTAGAGAAACAATATCAAGTGATTGTGTAAGTTCCAATGCTGCTGGGGGGGCGTCAGTGAGCCACTTAGTCCTGGGGCTTTGCCTTCTGTTTCCTTTGCACACAAAATCAGGGCCTCAAACTCAGGGCTCTTTAAATTTCTATGAATTTTAATGTTAAGGGAAAAGCAAGTGAAATTACCTGAGTTCAGAGCAGCGGCTTGATACTCACGCACTTGGGACTGTATATTTAAGACTGGACTATAATATCAAGGGATGGGACGAGGAAATATAGAAAAATGATTTAGGAGGTTTTCAATCCAAAGTTAATCAGGTTCTGGAAGAAGTTTATTTGCCTTTTCAGGTCACTGAAATATCATTAATAAAAGTTTATTGCCCCATTCATCAATATTCTTGACTTCAAAACGTTACCCTCTTTTTATTAAATGACACTTGAAAGGAGAATAGCTAATCTTGCAATTCCCAAACAATAATTTTTCATCCTAAATCTGCCCGTGTCAATGAGGAAGTCCTCAAAGAATTCTGTATTTTCCTTTTATTACCCTTAGTGCACAAAAGTGAAAGGCCCTAAAATCACCTCGTATTTTGTCTCTCTTCTTAAGTGTCAGACGTTCCCTAAAAGAGGTGCCTTCCATGTGCACTTAAGATGTGTATATTTCATTGTTGAGGAAAAAAGTAAAGTTTATGTCCCTAAGTGTATGGACTTATACGAGTAGCAAGCCTGCATTCATTTGGCACTTATTCATCCAACTCTTGTTCAGGGGGTGGGAAACCAGGCTAGAATAGATGCTCTCAAGCAAGATGCTTTCAAAATCATCTAAGAAGATTTATAAAAAGGCAAACTCCTAAACTCCCACTTCAGAAATTCTGAATCACTAAGGCAAAGTGGCATAAGGGAATCAGTCCTTTTCTTTTCTTTCTTTAAGCTCTCCAGGAAATTCTAATCCACTAATACCTTTTGAGAATGTGACTCTTGAATGTCATTGGGACTAGTAAAATTCAAATATATATATAAGTACATATATATGTGTATATATGTACATATATATGTCAGCTAATTTAAAATTACCTACCAGTGTTGGAGAATCTGGGTGGCTTAGACAGTTGATTTTATGACCTTTGATTTCAGCTTAGGTCATAGTCACAGGGTTGTAGGAGCCAGCTGGGCTCCACACTGAGCATGGAGACTGGTTAAGAATCTCTCTTTCCCTCTGCCCCTCCACCCCTCTCCCCTGCTTGCTCTCTCAATCTCTTTCTCTAAAATTAAATAAATAAATAAATAAAAATAAAATCACTGGTGTTGGGGTGCCTGGCTGGCTCAGTTGGTAGAGTGTGTGACTCTTGATCTCATGGGTGTGGGCTCATTTCCCACATTGGGTATAGAGATTATATAGAAACAAAAATTTTTAAATAAATAAAAAACAAAAGTACCAGTGTTTTAGTTTTCCAAATAAAACATTAAATTAAGATATAACTGTGTATTATCTATAAACACTATTTTAAAAAGATATATGTACTCCTAGGTTTATTGCAGCATTATTTACAATAGCCAAAATATGGAAGCAACTCAAGTGTCTATCGATAGATGAATGGACAAAGATATGGTATATGTGTGTGTACACACACACACACACACACACACAATGGAATATTAATGAGCCATAAAAAGTAATGAAATCTTTCCAGTTGCAACAACATGGATAAATCAAGAGACTATTATGCTAAGTGAAATAAGTCACAGAAAGACAAATACCTCATGACTTCACGCATATGTGGAATTTAAGAAACAAAACAAAGAAAAAAGAGAAAAAAAAAAAAACCCAGACTCTTAAATTTAGAGAACATACTGGTGGTTACCAGAGAGGAAATGGGTAGGAGGATGGATGGGTCAAACAGGTAAAGAGGATTAAGAGCTCACTTACCATGATGAGCACTGAGTAATGTATAGAATTGTTAAATCACTATATCATACACCTGAAACTAATATAACACTGTATGTTAATTATACTGGAACTAAAAACAACAAATTAAAAAAATTAAGAAAACAGATATGGGCACCTGGGCTGGCTCAGTTGGTAGACCATGCAACTCTTGATCTCAGGATTGTGGGTTCAAGCCCAACATTGGATGTAGAGATTACTAAAAGAAAATAAAATCTTAAAAAATATTAAAAATGTTTTGAAAAGTTAAAAAAAAAATACAATGGTGTATTATCACCTGTTTCATTAAGAAAATAACATTTAAGGGCACCTGGGTGGCTCAATCCATTAAGTGTCAGACTCTTAATTTCAGCTCAGGTCATGATCTCAAGTTCAAGGCCCAAATTGGGCTCAGCATGGAGCATGGCACCTGCGTGGGATTCTCTCTTCTTGCCCTCTCTTTCTGCCCCTCCCCCATTCATGATCTCTCTCTCTCTCTCTCTCTCTCTCTCTCTCTCTCAAAATAAATACTTTAAAAAAGAAAAGAACATTTAACAACAGAAAAATTAGAATGGTCATAATTTTAAAAATTTAAAGTTAGATACAATGTAACTTTTGACAACTCACTACATTGCCTTTGTTTTTAACATTACAAATCAGAATGGTGAACATTTTATAATGGAACAGTCCTGTCCTAACACAGGTTGGGACATTGCAGTACCAGAAGTAAATATGAACCAGTTATATGCCTTGTTCTTGGGCTGTAACTGGTACCCTTTAAATATGCCACACCCAGAATGTATTCCCCCACCTCCACCCCATCCATGACTGACTCAGTACTTAAGACTTGGCTCAAATATCACCTGCTCTTAGAAGTTTTCTGCTCTTTCCCTTCTTCTCCAAGGCTGAGTTTGTGCACCTCCTTTGTGCTTCCCAGAACATTCTGTACACACCTCTGACACACCTCTTGTAAACCAAATATTAATCATTTGTTTTATTTACTGTCATCTTCATTACATCATGAGTCCTTAGAGGGGAGGAACCATGCTTTCCTTATTTCTGTACCTCTACAATTTAACACAGGTCTTTAAAAAGACCTTC